GTAATGGGTTGGAGGATAGGCTTGCTGAAAAAACATTTCTATCGCTAATTACTGATTACGTGATAATATCAATAGCAATCGTGAATTTTTCAGCTACACAAGTTTAAGTCACATGTTAAAATTTTAATCAACTGCATTCATCGAACTTTTCTATGCATATGACATGAAAATACCGAGATTCGGATAAACTTTCATTGCTCTGATGATATTTCATAACTTAGAGAATGCGAATGCATTAGTAGCTACAGTTGAGTAGTGAAGTGAAAATTATTCTATTGAATCCGAAAATTAGGTAAAATTTACGCGATTCATTTGAGAACATTCTAAAAAAAGAGAAATGTAAGAGAATAAGGCACCTGTTCAGTGATAAGCAGCAGTAATCGTTCGAACATCTCATTACCAGCCAACGACGTCAACGCCATATAAAGAAATAGACCATGAAGTACTGATGTTGGTATCCACCTCAGTGGATACGGTAGTAGTGTATAGGTGGAGATCAATATCAATGTGTGTGCTATCAAAGTCGCTAAACGTGTCTCTCGAACGTTCATTATACTGAAAAATGAATGAATCAATAACGCTCTCAATTCAAATCTGATCAAATCATTTGCAATTTTCAGTCGTTTCAATCATATCCCCAAAAATATTGCAGAGTTTCGTCGCCAACAATCTAGCATTTTCTAATAGTAATACTGATGACAGATATATGAAAACAATCTCAGAATATAATATGATAAATCATATTAAGATGCCAAATTTAATAGAATGCAGTCATGGGTTTTAGAATATAATCAGTCTCTCAAAAGATTACTGCCAGTATCTCATAACTAGTATAACTAATCTCTTACCACTAGTATTTTCTAATATTGATGACAGATATATGAAAACAATCTCAAGAATTTATGTGATAAATCATATTAAGATGCTAAATTTAATAGAATGTATCTAATTGATATTAGAATTTAAGCAATTTCTCGTAAGAGTACTGCAAGCAAAACATACACTTCATGAACGTGGCCCTGAAGCAATCGCTCTTCGACGTCGGCCAACGCACGTAAATGCAGAGGAGAATGAGGTAACGCACCGTGTATCCACGGAAGACCCATGATCGATAAGAAACAATTCAATATTGCTACTACAAACAAATCCAAATTTTGAGCCGAACCCTTTCGCAACCTAAATACCACTCGAATCATTGAGAATATTGTTGAGAGATGCTCTGCGAATAGTAGATTTCAGAGAATCTTATAAATATCATATGCCATCAACTATTCCGAGTTCAAATGCAGACAAATCTCTCAAGTGAGACATTTTTCATGATGCATTTGATTTGAAACATGCATTCATAATGTATGAAAAAGTGCTCTCAGAAAGATCAAATAACAAAACGATAGAACGAACTTATTCTGTGGATTATTTACAATTGCTGAGGTGATGTTTTGGTCCATGAAGAAAAGAAACGATAACGAAAAACCGAGTAGAGCGCACACAAAATAGCCTTGCCATGGTAGCGAGAAAATATCCGCTACGGCCAACAAAGCCATCTCGTCGCGCATCTTGAATTTATCCTCTGAAATCATTTCGACCAATTTATTTTTCGACCGGGGCACATAATAACTCAGAAAAAATCTCTCTAAAGCAATTTTTGAATGTCCAATTCTTTGAGTGCGATCAACAACTCTTTAGTTGTTAAATCGAAAGTGGAGACTGACTGCATGAAAATGAGATTTTTGAGTTGGTTTGAAGAAATGAATGAGTTTGCACAAAATACGGCTTACTTTCAATATCCGAAAAGCAATATGCACCCGTAAACGACATGATCAAAACGGATGCCGGTAAAGCATAGTCTGCTAACCATTCACGACGAGAACGTGTCAAGTAAGGCGTCTTTCTGAAACATTTCCGATTATTTCCATATCTTATCAGTATGCTTAACTGAAATTCATTTGCTCTTCCCTCATAAAGTTTAGTCGATTTCATGGAATGATTAATGGAACGCCTCTCATATCTATTATGTATGCATGATCCATTAGGTTGATGCTATTATTAATGTTTTGCTAAATGAACTGAGATTGTGAATAAGTTATAAATTGAATGCGCCAATCAGTTTTTGCGCCTTAAAAAGTGAACTGTATGGAATGCAATATAAACTGAATAGTAGTGAGAAGAGAAATTCAAAAGAAAACCTGAAATTGTATAGAAATAAGCCGAGCCAAAGTGTGCCAAACATTAAAAGCATGTACAATATTGAAGTGTCGCGATGACACGGCTTTCCGAACGTGGTCTGCAAAACAGCTCATTCATACAGTATCCTTTGAACGTTTAATAAACCTCGTAGGGCATAGTGTCTTCATAAAGGTAAGGAAAAATAACACATCTGCTTATTTCAGAGAAATATTTTGATTTCATCGATTCGATTCGGAAAAATTGAAGACACAAATAAAATCAGTCGATATGATACCTGAATTTTATCAGAAGCGCCGGTGATATTGTCAACTATTGATGTGAATGTTGACGCATTTAACCGCAGTCCGATGCTAGTCTCATCTGCATTCTTCCGCCTCCTCGGATCTTCATCACAATTGTGATAATTGTTCTTGAAACCTTGAATTAAACGAACACTAACTACCGCTCGAGTCCACTATCAATGAGATGAAGCAACAAAATGGTATGGATTGAAGAATTGGGTTGCTCATTCCGTGAACGCTTTCAGCTCTCTTCGTTCGTGTAATCGGAAAATGACCGTAGGTAATACAGGAAAGATGAGTGACTGGGATAGATAGATAGATGCAATCAGGATTTGATAAAAATAGAAAACGATAGACAAACTTGTGTGAATCGCACGTATACTTTCGAATGTGAAGGCAATCGCTATAAACAACGAGAA